AATACATACATACACATAAAATAAAAATAATAAATAAAATATTTTTTTTTGGTCTTTTTGAGACAGGGTCTCCCTGTAGCCCCAACTGTCCTGGAACTCACTATGTAGGCCAGGCTAGCTTTGCACTCACAGAGATCTGCCTGTCTCTGCCTTCCGTGTGCTGGGATTAAAGGCGTGAGCCACCACTCCCCACTATTTTTATTTCTTATGTGTATGAATGTTTGGCCTGCATGTATGCAAGTGTACCACATGTATGCAGTGCCCATGGAGGCCAGAAGAGGGGTTTACTAGGAATTGAATCCAGAGCCTCTGCAAGAGCAATCAGTGCTCTTAACAACTAAGCCATCTTTCCAGCCCCCAAAGTACTCTTAAAACACCAGTCTGATCACTTGACCTGCCCAGTTAGAATCCTTCCAAACACTCTGGAGGAAAGTCCTCTGAGTGTCCTTCATGTCTGCCCATCTTTCTACCATTCATTACCTTTTGGCTTCACCAGTAGCCCTCTTTACCTAAGACCTCTGGTGCTGCCATGGAGTTACCATGCTGCTTACTTACATTCCTGTAAATGTCAAGCAAAACAATCTTCTGTCATCCCCTGGCTTGCCCCACACAGACCTTATATCTGGGGAGTATTTTGGGGTCATCTAGGAATCAACTGTAGCATGACCTCTCCCTGGCCTTTCCTGAACTCTTCAGCTTTTCCCTGGAAAGCTGCATCACTGAAGCCCTCTGCGTGCTCCACTGACTCTGTAGGCTTGTACGACGGTGTCTATAACCCATTGTTGCCGTTCTTTCATGCTTGTCTGTGAAAGCAAGGACCAAGGTTTAACCATGCGTATGTGTTGTCTGCTATACTGTAGGTGCTCAATAAGTGCTCATGAAGTAGATGAATGCTGATTAAATTGCTGCTTTCTTGGAATCCTACTGTTCATCAAGGTAAACTATGAGTCCTCTCAATGGTGGTGTCTTGGTGACCTTGTGGCCAAGACAGAAGCTCTAACAATGGGTGATCTAGTCACTGGAGTCCCAGGGGAAGGCTGTTTCCTAGGAAAGTGGAATTCTGAGGGACTGCATGACAAATGACAAAGTAGAAGGCAAGAAACTCATAGGCTGGAGTTGGAGAGATGGCTCAGTGGTTAAGAGCACTGGCTGCTTCTTGTAGAGGACCCAGGTTCAGTTCCTACCACCTACATTGTGGCTTACAACTATTTGTAACTCCAGTTCCAGGGGATCTGATGCCCTATTCTGGCAGCCAGGGGCACTGCATGCAGGCAACATATTCATACACATAAAGTAAAAATAAAATATTTTTTTAAAAAGTTCATAGACTGTGATGTGGATCTAGCCCTGATATTAAGGAACTTAAGTAAAATATGGCTACTAGGGGATGTGGAGAACAGGAAGGAGGGTGAGATGGAGAAAGCATGCTAAATTGAAGCAAGGTTAAGACAAGTTCTGGTGTGCTGTTGCACCACAGGGTAACTAGAGATAATGAGAGCTTTCATATTTCAGAAAAGCTAAGGAAAGGGAGTTTGAATATTTTTACTATAAAGAAATGATGTTTGATAAAATAGCTGTCCTTACACTGACTTGGTTGTTACACAATTTATACATGTACAGAGATGTCACATGATACCCACAAAATATAAGCAACTTTATAAATTACGAGAAAGACAGGACACACTTTACTAAGGTCTTTGGGGATGGTGGGGAGTGCTCAAAGGAGGCATCTTTGGGCCAAGCCATGTGAGGGAATAAGAGTGCGGGTATGAGTTGGACAGTCTGTCTCCACGTAGCTGGGGTCCAAAAAGGAAATGCATCACCCAGGAAGGCTCTGACTTGACAAAATGTTCCACACTCCTGAAAATGGGCTATGAGAAATATAATTATCCCTACTCTCCAGCCCCAGAAAACCTCATTTTCTATCTTCAGTTCAGTCCTGAAGACCAGTCCTTGGGAAAGCATGAGGTGTTGTGGTTTTGCACAAAATACAGGAGCAGAAGGCTGTGGTTTTTTAACAACTAATTATGTGCAAGCTTGGGCAAGAGCTTACCTTCTCTAAGTCTCAGTCCTATCATCTGTAAGTGGGGCACATTCTGACATGCCTCAACCACTTCATAGGATTGTAGCAAAGGCCAAATTGTAATAATATGAACAGCTGTTCCTTTCATATTGCTTCATATGTGTCAGAGTCTATGTTAAGTGTTTTATGTACAATATCCTAACCAATTCTCACAGAGAAGCTAGGACTGTTACAAGTTCTGTTGTACAAATGAGTGACTTGAGGTTTGGGGAGTTAAAACATCTTGCCCAAAGACAAATGGTATCAAAGAAGCTAGTCTATAAATCTATCAGGTCTATAGGCTTACGTAAGTAGCTGCCCTTACTGTCCAGGAGTAAAGCAACTATAGGTCCCCTCGGTGACCCCTGGTCTTGTCACAGTCGCTGCACATAGCAAGGCTTCCTACTTAGTCTCAGAGCATTGTTCCCAAGGGCTCAGCTTCCCCTTCCCAATTGCAGAGGTGTTTGTACTAGATCAACTAGTGTCTCCTCAAAACTGGTGAATGTGGCCCACGCCTTTAATCCCAGCACTCGGGAGGCAGAGGCAGGCGGATCTCTGTGAGTTCAAGGCCAGCCTGGTCTACAGAGTGAGTTCCAGGACAGCTGGGGCTACAGGGAGACCCTGTCTCAAAACAAACAAACAAACAAACAAACAAAAAAAAAAACCAAAAAAAAACGGTGAATGTGATCTTACTTTTCCAAGAAAGATCTTTGTGGATGTAATTAAGTTTTGATTACTTGAGCTCATGCTGTAGATGGGCATGGTGGCAAGAGAGGATCAGGAGTTCAAGGCCATTTTCCTGTACATAGTGAGCTCAAGGCCAGTTTGGGCTACATGATCCTTTGTTACAAAAAAAGGGGAAGTGGGTAGGGGGACTGGAGAGATAGGTCAGTGGTTAAGAGGGTATACTGCTCTTCCAGAGGACCTGAGCTCTGTTCCCAGGATCCATGTCAGGTAGCCCACAACCACCTGTAACTCTAGCTCCAGAGAATCCAATCTCTTGGGCCTCTGTGGGCCCCACACTTCTGTGTAGATACACACACACACACACACACACTTAAAAAAAGAAAAAAGGGGTTGGAGAGATGGTTCAGCAGTTAAAAGCTCTGACTGCTCCTGTAGAAGATCTGAGTTTAGTTTCCAGGACCCACTTGGCTCACAACTGCTTGTAACTCTAGTTCCTGAGGACAGGACATCTTTTAGCCTCTGTGGGTAGTGCATGCACGTGGCACACATACATACATGCAGACAAAACACACACATAAAATAAAAATAAATCTTTAAGAAAAAAGAAGCTGGTCATGGTGGCGCACACGTTTTATCCCAGTACTCAGGAAGCAGAAGCAGGTGGATCTCTGTGAGACTGAGGTCAGCCTGGTCTACAATAGTGTGTTCCAGGCCAGCCAGGGTTACTGGGAGATCCTGTCTCAAAAAAGATTTTTTTAAAAAAGGAAGGAACTCATGGAATTCATACTGGATCAGGGAGGATCCTGTCAATGACAATTAGTGTCCTTCTTATTCATTCACGTATTTTGTGAGTAGGGGTGCACTCAATCGTGAATGGAGCCCAGAGGTCGACACGGCTGTCTTCCTTCTTCTTCTTTCCTTATTTATTTTTTGAGGGGTGTGCACATGGCATGGTGTGGAGGTCAGAGGGCAACCTGTGGGAGTTGGTTCTCTCCTTCTACCATGAGGCTCCAGGGACTGAACTCAGATTGTAAGTCTTGGTGGCAAGCATTTTTACCTTCTGGGCTACCTTGTTGGCCCAGCCACCTTATATTTTCAGACAGGATCTTTCACTGAACCCGAGTCTCACCATTTCAGCTAGACTGGCTGGCCAGCAGGGCCATGTGATCCACCTGTCTCTACCCCTGCCCCCTGCCCGGTGTGGGAGTTACAGATGCAGGGTGCAGCAGCTAGTTCTTATGTGGGTGCTAGGGGTCCAAATTCAGGTCCTCATACTTGCATCACAAGCCCCCTTGGAGGGAAGGCTGCCCTGTGAAGGCAGGGATTGGACCTATGCTACCAGTGCTGAAGGAAACCAAGGATTCTGGGGAAAAAAAGAAGAGAGGATTCGTTTCTGAAGAGGGACCAACACCATGGTTTCAGGTTTCTAGCCTTCAGAATGGAGAGAATAAATTTCTGTTATTTAAAGGCAACTTTGTCGCACAGTCCTTAGTGTTGTGTGCACCACAGCTGGGGATACTTCTTGGGGGCAGGTGAAAGTGAACAGAATAAAAATGTTTACTCATCCAGCCACACACCTACACTGACTCTGTGTGTGTGTGTGTGTGTGTGTGTGTGTCTGTGTGTGTATATGGGGTCTGCAGTCCTGTTTTTCCTGGAGTTCTTTGTGCCCTGTTGGCTATCCTCTCTATCTCTAGGTCTAACATGATGAAAGTATACCTTAGAAAAGTTAAAACCTTGCCCATTGTTCTCACAACTGGCTGGTAGAAGTAGAATTCAGATCCAGAACTCTCTCGACTCCTTGGCCTTTTAATGATACCAAGGCAAAGAAACTGAACTCTTCAAAAGAAATGGGATCATTCACTTTACCTTTTATAAGCGTTTCCTTCTAAATTTGAAAGTAGTGTTTATTTGGAAAATATTTAGAAATTATTGAAATATTTAAAGAAAAAGCAAAAAATTATTCACTGCAAAACTGATTTTATTGACTAATAATCCCCCCATGCATACATACTACCCACAAAACTTTATATTGTTAAATTTGGTGTTTTGCGTTTTCATTTAACATGGCATGAACATTAGTCATGTCATTAGTTTTTGTAAACACGATTTTTAATTACTAACTAGTGTTCTGTCACATGGATGGGCCATAGTTTAAATCTGAGTTTCTATTATTGCCGTCTTAGTTTCCAGCTTTTTCCAATATAATAAACGCAGTTGACATTTTGCAGTATTTAGCCTTCCTATTTCCTCAAGACAGGGGAAAACGCCGGATAAACCGGATGACTATTTTAAGGCGTTTGATGCACAGTGCCACATTGTTTACCAAGAGGGTTCTACCTGGAGGCGCATCGTCCTGCACGGCGGTCCCCGCCGCCCAGCCCAGCTAGATTTTGAAAAGGAGCGTGCGATCACACAGGTTACTGTGTCTCGAGGGCAGGGGGAAGACGTACAGGGACGCGGCTCCGGGGATCCCCGAGCCGGAGGCTGGGCACCCGGGACAGAGGGCGGGAACACGCTGGGAATTCGCGCAGCTTCCACGCGGGCTGGGGTCTGCTGCCGACGGAGGGCGCCGGGCTCCGCCGCGGCCAGCGAGGTTCGCCGAGGCGCGCACCCCTCCCGCCCCTTTAACGGGGACACTCCCCTTTAAGGCGGG